TGATCCCACCATCTTTTCCTCAACAGTCACTGGATGGAACGAGATCTCCTGCTGAGGGACCATCAACTCCATTTGGTTTGGAGATACAGAACCTGAGGTTGATCCAACCATCTTTTCCTCAACAGTCATTGGATGGAACGAGATCTGCTGCTGAGGGATCTTGTCTACCAACTCCATTTGGTCTGGAGATAGAGAACTTGAGGTTGATCCAACCATCTTTTCCTCAACATTCATTGGATGGAACGAGATCTGCTGCTGAGGGACCTTATCCATCAACTGCATTTGGTTTGGAGATACAGAACTTGAGGTTGATCCCACCATCTTCTCCTCAACAGTCACTGGATGGAACAAGATCTGCTGCTGTGGGGCCTTATCCATTAACTCCATTTGGGTTGGAGATACAGAACTTGAGGTTGATCCCACCATCTTTTCCTCAACAGTCATTGGATGGAACGAGATCTGCTGCTGATGGATCTTGTCTATCAACTCCATTTGGTTTGGAGATAGAGAACCTGAGGTTGATCCAATCATCTTTTCCTCAACACTGATTGGATGGAACGAGATCTGCTGCTGAGGGACCTTATCCATCAACTCCATTTGGGTTGGAGATACAGAACTTGAGGTTGATCCAACCATCTTTTCCTCAATAGTCACTGGATGAAACGAGATCTCCTGCTGAGGGACCATCAACTGCATTTGGGTTGGAGATGCAGAACTTGAGGTTGATCCAACCATCTTTTCCTCAACAGTCATTGGATGGAACGAGATCTGCTGCTGTGGGGCCTTATCCATTAACTCCATTTGGTTTGGAGATACAGAACTTGAGGTTGATCCCACCATCTTTTCCTCAACAGTCACTAGTTGGAATGAGATCTGCTGCTGTGGGGCCTTATCCATTAACTCCATTTGGGTTGGAGATACAGAACTTGAGGTTGATCCCACCATTTTTTCCTCAACAGTCACTGGATGGAACGAGATCTGCTGCTGTGGGGCCTTATCCATTAACTCCATTTGGGTTGGAGATACAAAACTTGAGGTTGATCCCACCATCTTTTCCTCAACAGTCACTGGATGGAACGAGATCTGCTGCTGTGGGGCCTTATCCATTAACTCCGTTTGGGTTGGAGATACAGAACTTGAGGTTGATCCCACCATCTTTTCC